CAAAACATCGTCTTGCCTCTCCAAAAGGTCTTGGCAAACTTTGACTCTCCTTTGCTTTTGTTCATCGGTGAGCTCCTTCGGGACCATTTTTGCACACACCTTTCTCATGCCAAGATTTTCAGTTAAGATTTTCCTAATTGTTTCTCTATCGATGTTTACTTGGTCTGCTATGCTTCTCACAGTCAGCTGACGATTTTGACGCACAATTAGATGAATTTTTGCAATGTTTTTGTCAGGTCTGCTCGTTACTGGTTGCCCTGACCTCTCTTCATCAGTGACACGTTCTCTCCCCTCAGAAAAACGTTTAATCCATTTGTACACTGCCGTTTTCTTCATGGCATTATCCCCACAAACTTGGACTAACATGTCCCTGATTGCACTTCCACTCTTGCCAAGTTTAACAAGAAATTTAATGTTTGTCCATTGCTCTAATGCAAGCTCATATATTCTCGTGACGGCACACAAAAACATGCAACAAAAATAATGAATGCTACTTAGCAAGACACCTCCACACATCAACACGAACACAGCTGTGAGACACTGATACACCAAGGTTATGAAACCTTATCAAACTGTTTGTACAGTGCTGCCAATGTAAGGGCACAGTGGCAAGTTCGCGAACTTAATTGTCAGACCTTGTATGTCATTTATAAAATTTCCTTTGAATAGACTGACTTTTGCTGAAGTTAAGTATATGGTGATTTGAACACCTAGCATAGATATTTTTCATAGCATACCTATCATCTCGAGGTCGGCGTTCTCTGTCAAATCGATCCCGGTCATAGTCGATAACACCACGATCCCGGTCTCGGTCTCTATGTATCTCCCGATCCCTTTTGAAATCTCGATGATCTGCCATGACATTACTCTGACGATCAAAATAAGGCTCACGGTCTCTGTCTCTATCATAACGATCCCGTTGGCCTGCATGCTCTACAAAAACAATTAGCACAAAATAAAAACTATATCCCTTTTTCTGAAATGAAAGCAAAAAAGTACAAATTTAACTTTAGAACTAGTACAAATTATTGCCCTAATTTCAACTTATAAATCTTTTAACTATATTAAAGGGAGGCCTAGATAATATTACCAAAGGGAAAATCATGTGATAATTAAGTCCTAAAGGTTTAAAAATACTGATCTCTCTGGGACTCCTACCTGTCTCAAAAGTTGATCTGTCAGGTAGTGGATCTGGGCGCAGAGTTATTCTTTCTCCGTAGGGTATCTGTTCAACTTTATTAGTGGCTATATCTGGTAAACAAAATCAGGGATGAAACACTGTAAGGGTGAAGCTTCAGAAAGGCAAAGCTAAAGCTAACAATTCCTTTAGAATCCCAAACACAAACATGCCACCATTCCTTACCTCGGCCATGGCCATAATCAACAGTCTGCTGCACTGGTGGTGGTTTGGACATTGGAGGCATACCCATAGGCATTGGGCCAGGAGGGGGAATGGAAGGGTGAACAGGTGGGGGTGGTAACAGTGGAGCAGATGGGATTGTTGCAGTTTCTGATTTAAATTCTGAATTCAGTCCTTGTTCATCATTTGTATCCCAGAGGCCATAGAAAGAGTCTTCATCCCAGCGCTCCTGTTCCACACCTGAAGTTTGTGACTTTATCACTGGAGGAGGTGGGGGTGGAGGAGGAGGAGGTGGTGGGGGTGGTATTGGGATAGGCGGCCTGGTTACAGGAACAGATGATCTTGCTGGTGGAGCAGAGAGTCTCATAATTGAACCTGGTGGTTTACCCATAGGAGGGGGTGGTCTATAGGACCCTGGAGGCTGGAGAACAGAGTAAATAGCTTAGTGGATGAGGATACCACCATGGTTTTGCACATAGTGAAAATGAGTATCTAGTTCCCAGTCCATAAAAAAAAAAATGGACTCATTCAAAATTTAAAACTTCTTGCGCTTTAGGGAGAAAATCCAGTTGGCCCTTGAGCAACACAGGTGTGAACTGCATGGGTCCACTTATATATGCAATTTTTTTCAATAAATACTTATACTGTTTTTGTTCCACAGGTGGGAGTCCACAGATGTGTTGGGGGGAGGGGAGGAGGGAGTGACTATATACATTGATCTCCTTTCTATACCATTTTACATAGGGGACTTGAGTATCTGCAGATTTTGGTATCACAGGGGGTCCTGGAACCAATCACCTCCAAACCCCAGTAGATACTGAGGGACAACTTAAGTTTTGGGTAGTCAAAAGTTACAGTATATGCAGATTTTCAACTGTGTGAGGGTGGGGTGGTGGTGTAAGGGGTGGGAGGGAGTGGTGTCCCTAACCCCCATGTTGTTCAAGGGTCAACTGTGTATGCAAATCACATATCTGATAAAAGATCTGTAGTCAATATAAAAACTTATAACTTAATAAGACAAATAAAAAAATGGGAAAAGATTTGAATAGATATTTCTCCAAAGGAGATAAATAAATGGCCTATAAGCACATGAAAAGATGTTCAACATCATTAGTCATTAGGGAAATGCAAATTTAAACCACAATGAGATACCATTTCACACCTAGTAGAATGGATATAATTAATAACACAGATAATAACAAACGATAGCAAGGATGTGGAGAAACAACAGCCCTCTTACGTAGACTGCTAGTGGGACTGTAATATGGTACAGCCACTTTGGAAAATGGTTTCTCAAAAAGTTAAACATAA